TAGAAAATACGCTCGGCTTACTAGCTTCTTCGGATTCCACGGCTTTCCGTTGGTCTTGGAGGGCGCCTGCTGCATTTGTAGTACACCCATTCGTGATGCAAAAAATTGTTGGTGCTTCGATTACTGGATGAACGCACAAATATCACAAAGTTATCCTTCATGTATTCATTTGAGATCTTCCCAAATGCCGTGGAGGATGGAAACGATACACCCACAAATTTCTCAACGAAAGCCGCTTCCGAAGCCATAGCAGACGAAGTTCAAAGCCGAATGTGCGCCAATAATTTTCAAAAGAGATCGATTAAAACAAATCGCAAAAAATGACGGAAGATGAGGGCGGTTTTCAGTCTACGCATATATGCAAAGAAGGACAACATTTTGACGTTAAAGTTTTTATTTTGCCCGCAGGGGTTTTACAGAAAAATGCATTGTGCGTCTAGCCGCTGGCATAACCTATCAATACTGTACCCCCTTTCCAGTTCCACTTGCTAGATGACCTTGGAGAATCGCTCAGTAAAATAAATCAGCCATACTGAAAACTTGCAAAATGACCTATTAGATATAAACATTTTTAACTATGAAGTGGTAACCTTCAACAAATGATCGTTGTCAACAAATCGATTACACCTGGTGAATACTGAGTGGCTCACGGGCTTGTTAGTAAATCAACCGTGATCGGAGTTCAAGAGCTTGCCTAAGCTCTCAGTATTTGCACAGTGAAGTTAAATTCATGAAGGATATTGTGTTTTCGGTATCATCACTTCATAGCAAAAATCCTCATGTTTGATGAAGTGTCCTACAAATAATTTGCATGAGGGATTTGTTCATGTGAACAAATTTTCAAAGTCATTAATCAGCATCAATTGTGCAAACGGCGTCTAACGCCATAAAATACCTCGAATTGCGGCAAAAGATTTATCACCTATAAAGGACGAAATCCATGGATAGTTTTGCGGAGGAAATAATTATTTGGGCCTTCTTGAAACCGCAAGGTCCTGGTGGATGCAAAATGTTTTGAGGTGCCACTCCTTTAAATAATTTCCGTTAGTCATAGATACGAATATCAAATTATGTTCTAGGAAGGTAGAAGTTGCTTTTCCGAGGTATCATCGCGGGGAACTCCTTACTTCTTGTCAAGTAAATCGTGTGAGGCTGGGGGGACGTAAGGCAGATGTAGAGGACCTATGCAAGTTTGTTGGTGGAGAGCTGAGTTATAGTTATTGTAATAAATTTATTCCCTAACTTGTGACAGACATGCCATTTGACTCTTGATATGGTCATCACAACTTAAACACAGTGTACAACAACACAGTAGGAAGGAAAGTACAACCCATGAGACACTTTTTACTAGAAAAATTCACCCCAGTTTTGGGTACGGGATACGGCTACTCCAATTATGATACCGGGTGACATAAACTAAAACAGTAAATTGTTTCTGGCCCTCAAAGCTTGGAGTGTTTGAGTGAGTGGTCGCGGTCACAGAAAGTAAAACTGGAGATATCAGTGGAAAATTTCAAATTGGAATCAAATGGCAAGTTTTTTCTCAAAAATATGTTTTACACTGAAACTAAGTAGTCCCACTGATGTCACAGTTGTAGAGGAGTCAGGTGTAAAGAATGTGTTTGACCGGGAGATAATACCGAAAGATATACCCGAAGGAACACCGTAAATTAAACCGTTAAATTTATGAAAGTGTCAAACCGAAATTGTCGGTCGAGTCCAAACGAAAGTTTTAGTGGGTGGCAATGAACTCGTCCCAGAGGCGATTAGGGCTGGGCAAAAATTGGTTCGTAGCCGCAGTTACAGGCTCGAATGAGTGGGAGCTGGTTAAGGGTGGGAGGAAAATTGTTGCGAGAGTGCCATCTGGAAGTACATGCTATGCTATACATGTACATGTACATGTATACATGTATACATGTACACGCATGCTATCAAGTAACTGACATAAGTTAAATTCTGGACAGCCTCCTGAAGACGTCCAAGCTGCGGTGTTTGGACTAGTGATGTGCATTCCTGTGGCGGATGAACCTAGGCTAAACAGGAGGACTAACACAAGAAGAGATAAGCACATCTAGATTCACGGGAAATTTCGATTCATTTGGTGGACCGTATGGGTGGTAGCCGAGGACCAGCCAGATTGGGTGAATGACAGTTACACGGAGCATTTGAAGCAGATATCGCTGCTTGGAAGTTCGAAGCTCAGAATAGGATGGGAGTGTGGAAGGAATAGGTTGAGAGCAGAAATGTCTGGCGAGAGCCAGGATGCACCGGCAAAGCGGTATACAATGAAAATATTTTGAAGGGGATGACAGCAAGTTAGATGACCGTTGAGAGGTCGGGTGTTTTTTGCCCTACCCAGAAAATCAGGACTAGCCAACGTTGTCAATGTAGTAGAAGGATGCTTTGACCGTAGACATCACATTCAGATACTGATGCAAGTGACAAACATTGATTTGCACTGAGCGTCAGTCAGAAGGCGCAAGGACAATGAAAGAGTACTTGCATAATTCTGTAGAGTTGAGGACTTAGCCCCAAACGTGGGAGACTTGCCATTGAACTGGTTAGTATGGGCAATGACAAGGTGTGCTTGACATAAAGGCGTAGTAGTTTTTAACTCAGCTAGAGGATCCGATAAAAGGGCATCCGTTGTGCAACATTTGGAAGAGATTTTCGGTGAAGAAGGAGAACCGACAGATAATGACAGGTCTATTGAGAGCTTTCGAGATAGTTGATATGGACTGTGGTGTAATTTGAAGCTACTGGGTGAGCGGAAAAAAAGGTAAGGGTATGGTTAACCCGACCCTGAGGCAACGCTGTCAATCAACGAAAATTGCAGGGCGAAAACAGCCAGCAAACACAACCCGTTATCGCGGGCATTCAGGGGATTATAATGTCTTATGGTTCATACGTATATGATCACATCGTGTGACAAGCTGGATTAATGTGCGTTATATCCAACCGATGAAGAGTACCTCTGATGTTGCAGCCAAAACAAGACAAATATAACGATACCTTGCACGTTAACGTTAGTTGTGAGCCCGCGGAGCATCTCCAGACTACCTCATGCATTTTTTAAATAACAAAATATTAGTTGTTCTTCATTCGTAGTTCGTGGTGCAACCAGATAAATAACCACCGGGGCAAGTCCAAACCGGCTGCACACAGACAAAACCGATGCCGTTTTCCTGATTTTCTAAATCAACGGTAAGGCTCAATGCACCGGTGACTGGCCATGCACTCATACTACTGGAGTGGTGACGTGTACACATACGCAGCATGGTGCATTGTAGCACGGTACGGCAGTGAAGTACAGTGTTGAACACTGGTGTCATGCTGTTGATGATGATGATGATAATGATGATGATGCTGAGTCGTCGTAGTAATGCGGCTCTCACTGTTCGGTTACCCGTCCTCTACACGAGATCTTGAATCCCCGTTCTTGCTACTAGATTTACGGAGTGACAGTCATGATTGCGGCTCGTGCATTGTTAAAGAACTTCAGATACCAGGTACATTATCCGGTTGACGGAAAGGCGGGTCATCAAAACAGCTCAGTCCGCTCAGACAACCGAACAGCAGACAGCCAATGGAATGTGCAAATCGCGGAAGCTAATGAGACGGCAGCTAATTTTTGGACTATAGAAGTAGGATAGCGAATCATTACCTGTATAAGCAAAGGAAAAAGACTTAACTCAGGGCAGTTCGAAATGGGAGTAAAAAACCAGGGTCGCGGACATTATAGAGAGTAGAAGGAAGAAACTCGGCGCGGCGGTGAACTATGTAAGCTTGTCGGTAGATTAGACAATGCAAAATACCTATGTTCAACTTAATGCGCCTCAACCATGTTGATCCAGTCAAAGTGACCATTAGCAAGGACGATATGATAATGCGGATTACGCCAGAGACAAGAAATTAGCAAAAAGCACTTCACAATCTCTATGGAATTCCGGAATTTCTGTGGATACTTTTACTCGAAATCAGGGCCGGATTCCAGAATGCGTCATACTAACTGCTTAATGACAGCTGTTAAACAAGTTTCATTGTAGAAAGGACTCTTAGCTTACTAGTTTTTTTGGATTTCTCGGCCTTTTTCCAGGCTACCTGCTACATTTGTAGTGCGTTCATTCGTGACGCAAATCCGCGTGAGTGCTTTCATTACTGGATGGTTGCATGTATACCAAATAGTTATTCTTCATACATTCAACTAATGACTGAATGCTTTCTTACTGGATGGTTGCATGTATACCAAATAGTTATTCTTCATACATTCAACTAATGACTTCTCAACGCCATGGAGAACGACTGAGACATGGTCCACCATTTCTCGACAGATATATATGAAGCCACTTACGGGCAATAGCACAGCAAGTTTAAAACGAAATTTTGCCGGGCATTTGGGTGATTGGTTAGAACAAATTGCGACAAAATGGAGGTAAATTGGATTGATTTCGCTTATAAGCATAAACACAACAAAATGTAATATTTTGGCGTAAAAAGGTGTACATCACCACCAAAGGTAGATAAAAGCCCTGTGCCCATGCGGTTTGGAGCCTGCCTAAACGAAACCCATTTCAATTTTAGTTCAAGTTGACTGCCACCGCTCCTCTGGTTTCACCTTTTTTGACTCATTTCCCGCAGTTTTGCCCTCTTTTAGCTCTGCTTCATCCGTTATTTCCGAATCATAACGGTCTGAACATGCTTCAATTTTGTATATTCACCGAAAGCTGGATTGCAAATACTTAGTAGGTTTTCCCATTCTCAATATCCGGTGTATTTGAATCATGCTTATTTGGGCATGGCTTAATCTGCGTCAAATAATATGATCGTATGACAGCTCTATTTCGGTGCACCAGCACACATCCACAAAGTGGTCAATCCCATTCCAGGAAAAAATAATTTGTTAATGGTCGTTTGTTTTATATATGAACTGCACTGGCTCTTGCGCAAAGAAATGTTTTCAACCAGGTGGTTACAGAACCCTCTCCAGTCAGCTAATAAGCCAAAAAGAGAGATCAGCAATCACCTCATCAACCACCATTTAGTTGGCAAAGATAGTTGTCATGCACTCCGCAACCGAGGTTAGTGAGTCTGAGTGGCTTTCCGACAATTGAAGATACTGTGATATCACTTTTCTGTGCTTCTCGCTGGCGAGGGATGTATCATTGCTAACATCTAAATGCGCGTATTTTATCGTTGTTCCTACTGTAGTCGATTTTAGGCACGACAAATGCTTTGGACACCTTAGAGA